AGATAATTCAATGAAATTTGGCACATGCCTATTGAAAATTGTTTACATCGGTCCATCATTTCACTTAGCCCCCATACAACTGAACCTGCCGAATAGGGCTCTTAAGTTCATAATTTTGTTTAATATACTCGTACCTCGACAAAAAGCTGTAAAACCAAGTTCTATACTAGCCTTGATGAACCTCAAAAATTTTATAGTTATAGGGCCTCATTTGACAATAGCCCCTATACAAAACTCCCTTCAAAATTTGACTTATATGTCCACAATTTTATTCAACAATTAATGGCTTAAGTATATCTGAGGCAAGGTACAATTCAACTTAAATGCTTTATTATGACAACTAAATCACATTTTTTTGTAACAGGTGTAGGGTATTATTTGGTCGGCCTCGCACGACTATAATTTCTTACTTGTTTTTATTTTAGAGTAATTTTGTTGCAGTTGGTTACATAGAAGCTCTTAGTTGTTACTGTATTTGTTGTGATACTTCTATGTACTGTTTATGTCTGCATTGTGTATACATATAATATAGCATTTAATATTCATTCGTACCTTTTCAAAACACGTGTGTAAAATTTGCTTAAAATGTTTGTATTTAACAAAAAAAAAAAAAAAAAATTAAAAAACTAATTTAAACTCAGACATTTATAAATACGTTTCCTTCTTTAAGTTAGAGATGAAGGACAATGGTCAGTTGTTGGCAGATAGAAACACTACTATAACATGTTAGTGCTATTGTGGCTGTGTGTTTTTTTGTTTTTGTCATTTTCTGAAGTATTTCAAGTACATATATGAGATAAAATCCAAGTATATTCTTGTTTATGAACCTTAAATAAAAATTCGTAAAATACTTTTTATTTTTGCACAGATTGTGACATTTTCTAATATTGTCATTCTTGCTTTTACTACATATACAATATTAAGGTGTTCTTTTCTTACCTTTTGCCAAGATTTGTTTTATATATTTGAAACTTTTTATTTCTAAAAAAGCAAAATTTTCGGTCTTAGACTATCTTTATCAGTTGATATAGTAATGTATTAAATAGAAAAATACCTTAATAACACCACATATTGCACGTTGAATACAAGACTGGCATAGCTCAACTTTCCAAACAGTTTATTGTTCTGTTATTTTAAAACTTGTTTTGAGCATATTTTTAATAATCACTAAAATAATATTGACAAACATCTATTTTATAATGTTATTTTTTTTTAGTTGTGGCATTTTTCATTCAGTTTGCCAATATGCATTTACATACGTAGATAGTTGTCTTTTTTGTGGTTAGCAATTGTATTTTACTGTTTTCTGTTTTTATATGCATTTCAAAGTTTGTAGCATAAATATTAATAATACGGAGCATAATTGCAAAATTTATTTTTATTTAAGTAATTTGAATAGTACAAAGTTTTATAACTTCTTAAGTAGAATTGTTTTATAATAAGGAAATGGAAATTTCATATACGAAATTATATAGAAATTTTAGCAAGTTGAATTTGAGAAAAAAACTTTTAGATCTTCTATAAAATAGCCCCAAAGTAGGTGAATACAACAGAATTTAGTATTTAAACCTTAACCATTTATGAAGAAGTATACTGCTATAGTTTACCTGTTACCGGTAATAAATTTTAATTCAATTAAATTCAAATCCATAGTTGTGCCTATGAAAAATGCATAAGGCTAGCCTACAACGAGCAGTAGCAGAGTTTTTAGTTTTCATCCTTTCTTTCGTCTTGTTTATTCACAATAAGAAACTCATATTTTATTTAAACAACAAACACACCACCAACACCGACTGTTACATGACCCATGCTATTTATGAGTCTACTCCATTACGGGCCACACAAACAAGCATAAACATCAGTTCACTAGCACTATCAAAAGTTCTGCTGTTATAACACGTTTGGTAACACATTTTATGGTTTTGTGATTTTTTCCTCCTCTTTTTCGTTTTTTGAATGTAAATTAATGAATTTATAGATTTAAAAACTGTTTGAAAAACTGTAGATAGAGTTTCGGAAAGGGTGTGAAAATAGTAATTAAATGTGGGAAGCTTGTAATCTAGGGAGAACATAAGAGTACCGTTAAGTCGATTAGAAATCTTCCACAATTTGTCCTCCATGATTTGAGTGTTTTTTCTTATTCTTATGATATCAGAGAGTACCGATACTTCTAGACAGTCGATATTATGAAGTGCCTATTAAGTATGTCTTTTACAAATTTCAATCAATGCCAAACAAGGTCTGCACTAAAGGCATGTTCTTGTCCGAAACAGTAGGAATTTTAAGTGATTTTGAAAACATACATAAAATGTCGAAGGCAGTGTAAATAGAAGTAAATATTTTCAAATTTTGGTAATGAGTATTGTAGGTAATGTAGTTATTTCACACGTTACTTGGTAATGAGTGGTCTTTATTAATAAAATTATTTTTTTTTTTGGTAGGATTTGTTGCCAGATGTATGTCTAATAAGGAATTGGTTAATGGTTTTAAGCCTAGTCGATATTAGAAGATTTTTGAAGAAATATTGATTTGTACCTTCATGTAAAAACTATTCCAAATAGCACGATAAAATAATTTGTTAATGGGGCATTGGGTAATAGAATATATTAATAAACACAGAAAATAACTTTAAGGTCGGTTTTAAATCCGGAAAAGTCGGGTAAGCACATTTGTAACCAGTTATTTTTTGGTCATCGTCAAACAAAAATAAGTAGTTATTCACCCAAAAAGGAAGTACTTACACTTTGCTCCAATATTACTTGCCTACTTACCGGGTAAGTAAAGATTTTGCTGGGATAGTTCGTTTGGGGCATGTTATATATGCAGGAAAAACTTAACCAGCAAAAACTCGCTAATGGGTTGTACTTCCATAACGACTTACTTTTCAATGACTACTACTTATCGTCTGCATTACTTAGACGTACTCTAGTAATGACTTTCTTATAATCTAATATAGAAGTACTTTATTTTTGGCTTTGTCATTTTGTTAGTACATTTTATTTAATTGCGTTTTAAGAATTGTGTTTTACAAAAAATAAAACAAAATTAGTTTTGTTTGTGAAAACCATTATTTGACGCGCAATAAAATAGCTAAGCAGTGGAGCAGTGTGTAGAACATTTGACTAACAAACCGAAGTCCCTGGTTCGTATTCTAGCTGGCTCTTTTTATTATTAAAAAACAAAACAACTTACTCAACAACAGTTTTGCAAGAGAAATTGCAAGTACTTCTTTAACTCTCTATTTGTAAGCGTGCGTAGAAGTACTTGCCTCCAATGACATCACCGCGTTAAAATAATGACTTAAAATGCTAATGAAGATGTAGTGAAAAGAGCTTTTATTAGTTTTTTAACTCATTACTTTTCAATGTAAGTTTTTCCTGGGTACATTGAAAAGTAATTAGTTACATATGTATAAGGATTGATCTATAATTGATCCTACCCCCAAAATGAGGTCCTCTTCAAAAAATAATTTTAAACTCGCTTAAAATCAATTCATATCATTGAAATTCGACATGAACAAGTTTTGTACTTACCCCATAGAAAATGACCCAGTGGAAAAAATGCTAGGACTTAGATTTTTTGACCTTTTACACATTGTAAAAGATGCGATATTCAATCCTCATTGCCTTACCGCGGAAGATATTCCACAAGCACTTTGCTTCCCCTTCTTTAAAGATTCATACACGTTAAAAGTTGCATTACAAAACAAGGCCAAATAAACAATTATTAAAATTCAAACATGATTGGATTTGCATTTATTTTTATACGTATATTGACTCTCCCTATAAAATTTATTTTAGAGATCTTCTTATCAGCCTTCAGCGAAAGATGTTAAGGTCCTTTCAAAGGGCATATGAAAAACTTATTACACAGAATTAATACAAATGGTTCAAAGTTTCTTTTACATATAAATTTTTTCATGTGTAAAAATGGCTGTTGCACGGTGTTATGATAACATACAACTATCACCCTAACGCTCATACTAACTATTAATATAAGATATTAAAATTAATAGATAATAAATAACAAAAAAACCGATTTATATAGTATTGGACCACTTCCTGAAATTCACTTGAAATAATACTCTTTATTTCAAATTTATTATAATTTTTTTGGATTAAATTATTAATATGGCCAGCAAACGCTAAATGGAAATTCTACTAATTTGCTGCTTACTTTTCATTCACTACTGCTATTTCTATTAAAAAAAAACAATCAACAATATTATTGCTTTTATAATTATTGTCGGTCGATTGAATTTATGCAACAAATACTCATACTTACCAAACTACACATCCCTATACTTAAAGGGCATACAAATATTTATAGGTATTTCAATAGAGACGTTAAAAAGCCACCCTTTAAAAAAACGCAGGAATGTACTAGTATTTTCTGCCGTCCCTGCTACATACATATGTATCAAAACATGAAGTCTCGGTTGCAATTGTGGACATTTTTATGATAAATATGTATACAATATATTTTTTTATTTATAAATATAAAATAATAAATAAAAATTTGAATAAATGTATGTATGTCAGTATGTACATAAAAAGAGTTTGTACAGATGATTGTATAAACCAGCAATTCGCGGTGGCTGACAAACTACTAATTTTATATTCCTTTAAGAATTGTATCTGATTGAAGTATTAGTTATGGAATAGTTATTTTTATATGCATTAAAAGTGATGTACACTTTATATGTATCTAAAATCAAGTCAACCTCGTATTTAAACATTTCGAACTGCCGGAAATGTATAAACATTCGCATACATTGTATTTTGTACAAGGTGTATGTATGTATGTTTGTATGTGCACGAATGGCAAACGTATTGTGTGTTATTATTGAATTGCATGTCCTGTTATCGTTTATAATTAATTTTACTAAATATTTTAACATTTTTATTGAGTACCATTCATACAATTTTATTATTATTTTATTGTCCTAGTTGTTTAAATTCATACCTCTCTATGTGTTTGTTTTTCTCTTGTCATTTCAGTTGCATTTACAATAAAATTGTTTAAATAAAATTAAGGTTAACTCAACTCACACAGGTGTCAAATATGTTCAGCTACGTTTTTGGAATTTTTGGATTTTTTATTTTAGGTAAGTACAATGTTGTTACTTGACCTATGTGTTATTTTACAAGTATCATCTCCCATTATTTAGGACAATAATGGGAGATATTGGTTATGTTAGTAGAGATTTAAATTGAGTAATTATTTTAAGCGACTTGGAGAAAAAAATATGTAGTTCTAAGTTTTAAATTAAACTAAGTAAACGTTTTTTCTATTACGAATAGTAATATTCAATTGGGAAGTTTTTTTGATGTAACTTTTACTTTATATGCGGCAAAGTTAAATATACCTCAAATTATTATACCCACCATCAAAAAAGATGGGCCTATATTAATTTTGTTATTCCGTTTATAACACATGGAAATATTGGTCATAGACCCACAAAAGTATATATATTCTGGGTTCTTATTAAATTCTAAGACGATCTAGCTATGTCTATCCGTCCGTCTGTCTGTCTGTTGACGATAGATTCCGAACGGAACGAGCTAGAGGATTGAATATTTCCACAAGAATTCTCTATAGGTAAGGTTTGTTTGGTATTGAAAATGGGCAATATCGGTGCACGTTTTCGGATAGCCCCCATACAAGTGGATCCCTGAAAAACAGCTTTAACGGGCATATCTGTTTTAAAAGTACGAGTATAGCAATGCAATTCGAAATTTGTATGTAAATAAGTTTCATATGATCCAATTTTTTGAGGATCGGCCCATAAATTACGCTACCCCCCATATCAGGTTTCCTCCAGAAAATGACTTTAACGCTTATTACTATCTTAAAAATATAAGTACATTGACGTAATTCGACATAAACAAGTTTTGTTCAAGCCAAAATTTCTCTACCAAGGAGGACCAGTCCATAATTGATCCTACACAAACCTCACCCCTCCCCCGCATATATGATCCCCTTCAGAAAATGACTTTAACTTTCATTACTGAGTTAAAAATTCGAGTACAGCGACTAAATTCAACATTTTCTGAAGCGGACCTTATATGGACCGATCCTTATAAAATTTTTCAAAGCCCCCCCCCATATATTTTGATGATGGGTATAAAAAAAAGACCTCCATGGATCTGCTGCGCGCTCCTTTACCAGTGTCACTAGTAATCAAACCCTCGACCTTCGGTCAAATAGATTAGAACAATAACCCAGAGGAGTTACATTAAAAACAGATGAAAATACATACAATTTTTAAACGTTTAAGTTAACTCGCCTCAATTAAAAGGGTGAACAAATTCCCAAAAATTCAAACAGTTTTTAAATTGACACCGAATATGGTGTGTGCGGAAATGAGCCTTAAGTAGAGTAACATAAAATAATATTAAAATTCAATATAGTTAGCATAACATTTAAGTCGATAAAAGCGTTTCTTTAACAGAAACATGTAAACATCTATTAAAGTTAATTACCTTGTGATGACGTTTTGAAAACTTCAGGGCCAAGCAAGCTTTTTCCAGTGACGGTGGTTAACCACCATAAATATTCTAAACACCTTTAAGCTTTAAAATTGCTCATATGTATATAACACACTAGTATACATTCTTGGAAATTAAAGAGCTTTTGAAAAAGTTGATGTCCTTACTCTAGACTTTCGAGTAAATGTAACCAACAAGGATAGAAACCAAATAATTATTTCAAATAATTAGGGTGAGCTTTTAGCTCAGTACTGATTTTTATCTAATTTGTTTTTATATCATATTCTCCCATGTAAGAGTGAATTAACTATTGGTGAATGTTTTAGTAAGTTGATCCAACAACCATTTGAATTAAGAAATTATTTTTGTTAAATATTTTAGTACAATTTTAAGATTTTAAGGGCATTTCTTTTATTTGTTACTCATAATAAAGTTGTCAGATTCTGATGTCTTAGATAGGTTTAACCAGAGTTGCCAGAAGAATTTTAGAAAACTCACTGCGCTGGCTGAAATTTATATTTTTCCCTACAATAAATTAGGAAAATCTGTATCTAATGGTAAAACTCTTGTTCATAAAGTTTTTTCAGCTTTTTTAAATGATTTCTACAACAACATATTAAGAGAGCTTTTTCTATGTTTATTTTTTGGGGTTGCTGTCATAAATACATAGAGCGGATGTGTTTGTTTTTCTCTTGTCATTTCAGTTGCATTTACAATAAAATTGTTTAAATAAAATTAAGGTTAACTCAACTCACACAGGTGTCAAATATGTTCAGCTACGTTTTTGGAATTTTTGGATTTTTTATTTTAGGTAAGTACAATGTTGTTACTTGACCTATGTGTTATTTTACAAGTATCATCTCCCATTATTTAGGACAATAATGGGAGATATTGGTTATGTTAGTAGAGATTTAAATTGAGTAATTATTTTAAGCGACTTGGAGAAAAAAATATGTAGTTCTAAGTTTTAAATTAAACTAAGTAAACGTTTTTTCTATTACGAATAGTAATATTCAATTGGGAAGTTTTTTTGATGTAACTTTTACTTTATATGCGGCAAAGTTAAATATACCTCAAATTATTATACCCACCATCAAAAAAGATGGGCCTATATTAATTTTGTTATTCCGTTTATAACACATGGAAATATTGGTCATAGACCCACAAAAGTATATATATTCTGGGTTCTTATTAAATTCTAAGACGATCTAGCTATGTCTATCCGTCCGTCTGTCTGTCTGTTGACGATAGATTCCGAACGGAACGAGCTAGAGGATTGAATATTTCCACAAGAATTCTCTATAGGTAAGGTTTGTTTGGTATTGAAAATGGGCAATATCGGTGCACGTTTTCGGATAGCCCCCATACAAGTGGATCCCTGAAAAACAGCTTTAACGGGCATATCTGTTTTAAAAGTACGAGTATAGCAATGCAATTCGAAATTTGTATGTAAATAAGTTTCATATGATCCAATTTTTTGAGGATCGGCCCATAAATTACGCTACCCCCCATATCAGGTTTCCTCCAGAAAATGACTTTAACGCTTATTACTATCTTAAAAATATAAGTACATTGACGTAATTCGACATAAACAAGTTTTGTTCAAGCCAAAATTTCTCTACCAAGGAGGACCAGTCCATAATTGATCCTACACAAACCTCACCCCTCCCCCGCATATATGATCCCCTTCAGAAAATGACTTTAACTTTCATTACTGAGTTAAAAATTCGAGTACAGCGACTAAATTCAACATTTTCTGAAGCGGACCTTATATGGACCGATCCTTATAAAATTTTTCAAAGCCCCCCCCCATATATTTTGATGATGGGTATAAAAAAAAGACCTCCATGGATCTGCTGCGCGCTCCTTTACCAGTGTCACTAGTAATCAAACCCTCGACCTTCGGTCAAATAGATTAGAACAATAACCCAGAGGAGTTACATTAAAAACAGATGAAAATACATACAATTTTTAAACGTTTAAGTTAACTCGCCTCAATTAAAAGGGTGAACAAATTCCCAAAAATTCAAACAGTTTTTAAATTGACACCGAATATGGTGTGTGCGGAAATGAGCCTTAAGTAGAGTAACATAAAATAATATTAAAATTCAATATAGTTAGCATAACATTTAAGTCGATAAAAGCGTTTCTTTAACAGAAACATGTAAACATCTATTAAAGTTAATTACCTTGTGATGACGTTTTGAAAACTTCAGGGCCAAGCAAGCTTTTTCCAGTGACGGTGGTTAACCACCATAAATATTCTAAACACCTTTAAGCTTTAAAATTGCTCATATGTATATAACACACTAGTATACATTCTTGGAAATTAAAGAGCTTTTGAAAAAGTTGATGTCCTTACTCTAGACTTTCGAGTAAATGTAACCAACAAGGATAGAAACCAAATAATTATTTCAAATAATTAGGGTGAGCTTTTAGCTCAGTACTGATTTTTATCTAATTTGTTTTTATATCATATTCTCCCATGTAAGAGTGAATTAACTATTGGTGAATGTTTTAGTAAGTTGATCCAACAACCATTTGAATTAAGAAATTATTTTTGTTAAATATTTTAGTACAATTTTAAGATTTTAAGGGCATTTCTTTTATTTGTTACTCATAATAAAGTTGTCAGATTCTGATGTCTTAGATAGGTTTAACCAGAGTTGCCAGAAGAATTTTAGAAAACTCACTGCGCTGGCTGAAATTTATATTTTTCCCTACAATAAATTAGGAAAATCTGTATCTAATGGTAAAACTCTTGTTCATAAAGTTTTTTCAGCTTTTTTAAATGATTTCTACAACAACATATTAAGAGAGCTTTTTCTATGTTTATTTTTTGGGGTTGCTGTCATAAATACATAGAGCGGAAACCCACAAACACATAAAATACTCAAACATGTTTTGCTATTATCTTTTAACAATAGTCTTTGGTACTAAGGCTTTTGCTATAAATATGTATTATTTTGGTTGGTGTATCGAATAGCTTTTGAAGTTCATCTCATCTTTGACAACATATGGGTAATTCCATACCTTGGTTTGTGTCATTTACATTCCTACAGAATAGTATACATATGGAGTTAAAATACATATACATATGGAGTTAAAATGTAAAAAAAATATATTTAAATCTGATAATTGTGTAGGTATTTTAATTTCTTACACTAAGGGATATATTTTTTCTTATACCACTGGTCTGCATCAAAATCCTCCTTTAACAAAACGTATAATAGAATTGAAGACATTAAGATATACAACCTACAAATGCTTTTAATTTTTTTCTATCACGTCTAGTTTCTAAAATATTAAAATTTTTACCGTGTGAAAATGGGGATTAATGTAATATACCTTTAAAAATTAAAGATCAAGTGAGGTTCCATCTGGAAGTTATAAACATTCAAAGTTGAAAATTTTGAAACAATTGAAGATGAAAAAAAAACTCGTTTGATTGCAAAAGAATTCTATAAAAATGCAATAGAATATAAATTTTCTTTTTATAAATGGTACAATACATAGCATAAATTTGTCTATTTTAAAACTGTTATAAAAACCGAATAATTTTTGGGATAAATAAAATCAGTAGCTTTAATCCTTCAACGTACTTTCAAAAAAGGATTCCCTAAAAAA